TCTTGAAAGAAATGGCTTTATTATTCATTTTATATCTTAGACAAACGTAGAGCCACAATCTTTCCCCCAGACATCTAGAGTCTGGTTTGTCATGATACTAAATACTGGTGTACAAGCACGGTGGAAGACGATATCAGACATGAGCAACATGATGATCATAGAATCACAGAATGGTTAAGATTACAGATTAATTTCACAGTCCCATAGCCTGTCATTCACTCAGTCACTCTGCTCTGTGATCGCTGTACATGCATATGTGTGAGGTACCTCCAAATACGCTTGCAGCATTTACTACATGTGAGGTTAGATCAGATGTGGGGCTTCATGGCACAGTAATTTTCTGTGTTTTATTTGTCACACCCTATAAAGAATCATAATTTGCACATCAGCCTTCAGATGACTGGTGAGATTGAAATACAAATAAAAGAATTTCTTCATTTATTTGGAAAAAGGATTTGAGTATCTGGAAAATATTCAGAGCTTAAAGATGTGTGATATCCACACCTTGGAAAAAGAAGTGGAAAGCAATGTATGAGTTGATTTGAATCTACTCTTCACTCTATAGGAATCATGTATGCTTAGTGCTACTTCTATACATTGGGATCAAGGTATTTTTTCTTGTATTCCTTTTTCTTCCTTTTTTTTTTTTTCTGGAAGCACATGATTCATAAACATGCTTGCACTCATTCTTGCTGTGCTTGCTGTGTGGGAAACAGAATAGTTGATATCGCTCACATAGTTCTGGATTCTTTCAGCTTGCTAGTGTGACAAAACAGTTACTTCCTTATTCACTTTTGAAGGAATTATTATGGAGATCTTTTTATAAAAATAGAGCATGAAACAAAACAGAGGTCATGAGTCATCACTAAATTACAATATAGTCACTATAAAACCTCAGTTATCACATTCATTCATACACTAGGTTCTATTTATAAACAAAATTGAAGTAGCAGTCAGAATTACTTCTGAAAACTGACTTCAGGGTTTACTTTTGCACTGTTAGTATCTGTACACAGTTTTCTGAAAGAATAAGGAACTAAAGTCAATGTCATGAGTAATGTGACCTCTTAGACCAGATCTCAGTTTGATATCTTTGTCTTAAACAATCCTTTACTGAAATGAAACATGTTTGAGTGATTAACACCAGGATTTGCTGCAGAGCAAAGTTGGAGAGCTGTGATGCTAGTAGAAGTCAGAAATCACTCATAAAAACACTCATAACATTTTATTTTTAAAAGCATTATTTATATTTGGGTTAGCTTTATTCTACACAGTACTGAAAAGAAAATAGTCTAACAGGGAAAATGTGTCTGAAAACCTTAAATCAATGTCTTTCCCTCTTAAAAATGTTCTGATTTGATTATTTTTTTCTTTTCCTACATGTTACCAAAACATGATTGATATGGCTAATTTTGCTCCATTTTTATATGCCTTTGATGCAGTAGTTCAGTAAGTTGTTTAATATCAGAGCCAGCATTCAATTTCATCAGTTTCCATGAAAGTGGATGAAAACACCCACATGTTTACTAAGTTTACTTAAGTTTACTTCCCAAGTAAAACTTAGGACTTGAAATGCATTATCTAAAGCGAGTCAAAAATATCGGAAGTTCCTGATCTTCCATGGGTGAGGATTTGGCCTTTAATCTCAGTATTCCACATTTTATAAATAACAGTTTCACATTAAAGGCTGTTTTGGAAAGGCAATTATTTGAAATTATGATTTCAAACGTATGCTTGAGACATATAAATTTGGAAGGCATGTTTATCCTTCTCTCTGTGTTACAAAACTTCCTAGAGTCAAAGGTAAATCGTTTGGATATACAGAGCAATTTTGTTTCTGTTTGAAGTTAGCAGGAGATGATGTATTTTCTTTGAGAAGTATGAATTTGTAGATAAATATTTCTTAGATTTCTTGTTGACATAGAAGTGTCTTCCATTTGGTCAACGTTGTACACTTCAGTTTGGGGCAGTTTCAAATTCTCAAAGGCCTACAACCAAAGATCATAGCTGTGCAAACTTATTCTTTGGAGTAGAATAGTTGTTTTGCTGTCAATTCAAATAATTTTGCAAGAATTATATAAAGTTCTGAAACATGTCTAAGAATCACTCATATGCTTGCAACTGAAATAGCACTGGTACACACTGAAAATGAATGGAACATTTTTATCAACAGTGTTTATGATGCTATCACAAAACCACATTTTTTCAAGGGCTTAGTTGGCTTTTTTTTTTTTTAAGAAAATCACACACAAATTTCTCTAGATTTTAATGTATCTTCACACACTTAAAATTAAGTAGGTGGCTTTGTTGAAAGCTTTGTAGTGAAGTGCTGCTAGTAATGTAGTTTTAATTCTTGAGAAGGCTAAAATCTTAGTTGCCACGTCCTCCCCCCACCCATTTTTAGTTAAATGCCGAGATATATGAATAAATTCGAAGTGCACTTTCAAGTACACTGATTATACTGATTGAGTATAGTGATATATTTGGGTGATAGAATAGGAAGCTACCATATTAAAGTCCTCCTGAAAAATCATCCTGAGATCATATGGGGCTCCTACAGTCTATTAATCAAAATACTCTTCACTTCAGGTGTCAAGAAGTAAAATAAAAAATACTGATTATCTTAAAGCTGCACTATACAGAAAATGACATTCCAGTAAGTACAATATAAACTGAAAGAGCTTTCTCTAACATTCTCTTGGAGACAGAGTATGAAAGATAGCTTGGATTTAAACTGAAAATCACAGAATCACATAATGGTTGAGGCTGTATCTAGTCCAACCTCCCTGCTCAAGCAGGGACACCCAGAGCACGTGGCACAGGATGGCATCCAGGTGGGTTTGGAAGATCTCCAGCGAAGGATCTGCCCAGCGAAGGGGCAGAATCCTGTCCCTTCACCTCCTGGCAACACTCCTCCTCATTCAGGCCAGAATTCCATTGGCCTTCTTGGCCATGAGGGCACATTGCTGCCTCATTGTTGGATTGTTGTCAAGCAGGACTCCCAAATCCCACTCTGTGGAGCTGCTTTCCAGCAGGTCAACCCCTAGTTTGTACTGGTGCCTGGGGTTATTCCTCCCTAGGTGCAAGACCCTGCACTTGTCCCTGTTGAACCTCATGAGATTCTTCTCTGCCCAACTCTCCATCCTGTCTAGGTCTCTCTGAATGGCAGCACAGCCCTCGGGGGTGTCGGTCACTCCACCCAGTTTTGTATCACTTGCGCAGGATGCACTCTGTGGCCTCGTCCAAGTCAATGACGAACAAGTTGAACAGCACTGGGCCCTGTACTGACCCCTAGGGACAGCACTGGCCACAGGCCTCCGGCTAGACTCAACCCCATCTATCACTACCCTCTGAGCTCTGCCATCCAGCCAGTTCTCAATCCACCTGTCTACTTGTCCAGTCCACACTTCCAGAGTTTTCCTACGAGAATGTTATGGGAAACTGTGTTGAAAACCTTGCTGAAGTCAAGGTAGACAACACCCACAGCTCTCCCATCGTCCATCCGGCTGGTCACCTCATTGTAGAAGGCTATCAGGTTCGTCAGACATTACTTCCCCTTGGTGAATCCATGCTGACTACTCCCAATCACCTTCTTTTCCTTGACATACCTAGAGCTGGTCTCTAGATGGGCTGCTTCATCACCTTTCCAGGGACGGAGGTGAGGCTGACTGGCCTGTAGTTTCCTGGGTCCTCCCTCTTGCTATTTTCAAAGAATATAGTTTCCAGTTTTGGAAAATATGGTGGTTTCTTCCAGTCCTCAGGCACCTAGCCTGCCCTCCATGACCTCTCGAAGATGATGGAGAGTGGCTGAGAAATAACCCCTGTCAGTTCCCTCAGCACTCTTGGGTGCATCCCATCTGGGTCCATAGATTTATGGGTGTCTCGTTTGCCTAAATAACCCCTAACCCAAACCTCCTCAACCAGCAGAAAGTCCTCCTCTCTCACAGTTCTCTTTCTTGTTTCTGGGCTCTGTAGCTCATAGGGACTAGCCTTAGCAGTAAAGACAGAAGCAAAGAAGGCATTTAGTAAATCTGCCTTCTTTGTATCTGCTGTCATCAAGATACCCTCCCCATTCAGCAGTGGTCTAATACTTTCCCTAGTCTTCCTCTTGCTGCTGATGTATTTACAGAAGCCCCTCTTGTTGTCCCTGACATCTCTCACTAACTCTAATTCCAAACAGGCCTTGGCCTTCCTCATTGCATCCCTGCTTTCTCTGACAAAGTTCCTATATTCTTCCCATGTGGCCCCCGGCCCTTCTTCCACATTATGTACCTGCTCTTTTTCGCATTAAGTTTACCCAACAGCTCCTTGACCATCCACACAGGTTTCCTGCCCCACCTTGCTTGACTTCTTTCTTATAGGAATACACTGATCCTGAGCTTGGAGAAAGTGGTGTTTGAATATTAGGCAACGCTCCTGGACCCCCTTTCCTTCTAGGACCATTGCCTAGGGGATTCTTCCAAGGAGCTCCCTGAAGAGGTCAAAGATAGCTCTCTTGAAGCTCTCTCTCTTCCAGCTTCCTCCTTACAGGATCATGAATTCCAACATCGCGTGGTCACTGCAGTCCAGACTGCCCCCAACCCTCACATTTCGCACTAGACCGTCTCTGTTTGTCAGTATCAGGTCTAACAGTGCTCCTCCCCTTGTGGCTTATCAACCACATTCATCAAGAAGTTATCTGCAATGTTCTGCAAGAACCTCCTGGACTGTCTGTTCCAGCTGTGTGATTATCCCAGCACACATCAGGGTGGTTGAAGTTCCCCATAAGGACCAGGGCCTGGGATTGTGAGGCTTCTTGCAGCTGCCTGTAGAAGGCCTCATCCACTTCCTCTCCCTGGTCAGGAGGCCTGTAGTAAACTGCCTCGACTGTGTTGTCCTTGTTGGCCTGCCCTTTAATCCTCACCCACTCAATCATGCCTTGTCCTCCCCTGTGCTGAGCTCCATAATTTTTTTTTAATTCTTTTTTTCCAATCCTTCTCTGTAGCATTTCTGATCACCTCAGGACACATCCTGCTGCCGCGTGTTTCAGTCTTCACTCGTCTCATACTTGTGCTTGATGTGTTTCCACAGTTTTCCCTGGTTGAGCTGCTTGAAGAGGGCATCAACGCCCTGGTAGAAGGCATGCTCAAAGATGACAGTGCCCAGCACAATGTTGAGCACAAAGATGGAGGTGCGGCAGAAGAGCGTGCTGTAGGTCCATGCCAGCAGCACCATCTTGCTTTGCTGTCCAATCCACTCCACCCCTCGTCCCACAGGATCAGAGTCGCATCCAGGTGGATGTTGAAGATCCAGAGAAGGAGACTCCATGACCTCTCTGGGCAAGCTCTTCCAGGACTCTGTCACCCTCACAGTAAAGAAGTTCTTCCTCACATGCAGATTGAACTTCCATCAGTTCCATCATGGGGATGGAACTTTCATCCAGTTGTGTTTCAACTTGTACCCATTAGCCCTTGTCCTATCACTGGCCACCACTGAGAAGAGTTTGGCCCAAATGAAATGATTTATCAGGAATACTTAGCAAGTTTTATTTATTATATTAAGTGTCTCATTATTCATATCACAGACATTAAGCACTCAGCTATGTCTGGTGAGCTTTCTTTCCTTTCTTTTCTAAGAGCGAGCCTCGGGCAAGCTGAGATTCTAATTCATATAAATTCTACAACATCAGTATGTTGGCAAACTTAATTAGTTTTGTAAAAATTAATGGAGGCATTAACAGTAGTGATGAGGAAAACTATCATCCAGACCTAGCTTTCTTGTTTAAGCTGAAAATCCATGCAGGTGGATGATGGCTACCTAAGAGTACTTTGAACATGAAGTTATGCCAAGAAATATCAAAACTCCACAATTTGATGAAAATTTAAGAGAGCATTTAAGAAAGACTTACAATGCACCTATCTTTTTCTAAATTTATGTGTAGCAGTTCACATGTAGTTCTTTACACAGCTCTATAATGATGGACCCTGAGTCAGTAATTCAATGTGTTATTTTTTCACATTTATTTTCATCACATATGGGAAAAATGATCAAGGCTGACTTGGATGACCTTGCTAAAAGGTTGTTTATACACTCTTAAGGAAGAATCTGCTGTCAGAGATGGTCAATTTTTTTTCAACAGTCAAGGACAAACCTCACATTACATCAGATGATGACTGTGGCAGCACTGCTGTAGTCAAACAGCCCTCATGATCTTTACTCCTGCAGCATCATCTACTAACAAATTATCAAAACACTCTCAAAGACATCCCAGTTCAAGTTGGGATGAGTATTGAGTTGCTCTTAGACAGTCAAAGTGGCAGGACCAGGTGAAGACTCCTGGCTCCTAGGAGGAATCACAGCTCTGCTGTCACTCTTCATGGCCATGTGTTTCAAACTATCCAGACCAGAGTGAGCAGGAGGGACACAAGTGTATGAGGAGACACAGACCCAACTGCTCATTCAAGTTGGCATGGACAGAACTCACTTTCACCACTTAATGGACAAACTCAGCCTTTTTTACCTTATTCCCCTATGTCCTGTGGCCATACTTTTTGCTTAGCTTCAGACAACATGTTCACAGCAATAAGTCCATCTCCAGTTTCCCCACCACCAATTTCCTTTCACTTGTGCTCCACTACGTACAAAGGTGAAAATATCGCAATAATTCTTATCCCCTGTTAGTAACTGTTAGTAAGTTGGTAATCAGGAATCTTTTTCTTTCCATTTTCTAAATGACTGCCACATGTCACAGAATGGTTAAGGTTGGAAGGGACCTCTAGAGATCATCTAGTCCAACCCCCCTGCTCAAGCAAGAACACGTAAAGCACATGGCACAGGATGGCATCCAGGTGGGTTTGGAAGATCTCCAGAGGAGACTCCACAACCTCTCTGGGCAGCTTGTTCCAGGGCTCTATCACAGGAAAGAAGTTCTTCCTCACATGGAGATGGAACTTCACGTGTTTAAATTTGTACCCATTACCTCTTGCCTTTTACTGGCCACCACTGAATGTACTTGTACATGTTGATTAGATCTCCTCTCAGCCTTCTCTTCTCCAGGCTAAACAGGCCTGGCTCACTTAGTCTTTTCTCTTAAGTCCTCCAGTCCCTTCATCATCTTTGTTACCCTACACTGGACCCTCTCTAGAAGCTCCATGGCCCTCTTGTACTGGAGAGTCCAGATTTGCACCCAATACTCTAGGTGTGGCCTTACCAGAGCTGATTACAGGGGCTGGATTGGGTCTCTCAACCACCTGGCAACACTCCTCCTCCTGCAGGCCATGATCCCATTGGCCTTCTTGGCCATGAGGGCATATTGCTGACTCATGGGTAGCTTGATGTCCAAAATCCCTCTCTGCAGAGCTGCTTTCCAGCAGGTCAACCTCTAATCTGCACTGGTGCCTGGGGTTATTCCTCTCTAAGTGCAAGACCCTGCACTTGTCCTTGTTGAACCTCATGAGGTTCTTCTGGGCCCAACTCTCCAACCTGTCTAAGTCGCTCTGAATGGCAGCACAGTCTTCTGGAGTGTTAGCCAGCTTACTGTTCAGAGTGAGTTTCAGCTACTTCTTCTGCGTTCCCTTCTGAAGGTAAATCAATAAATTAGATGACCTAGAATAGACAGCCCTATCTGAACGGGTGACTTGTTAGTCTCCTGAAAGCTAAATAATGAGATCCGTGCTCAGTGCAGATTTCTTGGAGAGAATGTGCTATTCTGAAAAGACTTATTTTTTTTTTTTTTTTAATTTGGAGAAGGAGGGATTTGCACGGTTTATATTCAAGGAGAGTGCAGTATTAATGTGATTCTTTTGTTATCAATGGAATTACAAAAGTAATTTTGTTAG